ATTTTTGGTGATGGATTATCCCAAGTTTATCTTTTTCAGGTTTGTCTCACTAACTCCTGATTACTTGAAACTGAAAATTGACTCGGCATAGCGAAATACTTTCTGTTGGGGGAAAAAATCAGACAGGAAACTTTTTCTCGATTCTGAAGCGCCACTAAGCTTATTCAAGAAGTCGCTGCTTGAGAAGATGTACTGTAAGTAGTGTGCTGCATGAAAACAAGTAAATAGAAGGTTTCTTGACGGCGAAATTTATTTATTTCTACTGAAATTTAGAAAAAACTGATACACAGCTGGACCCGAAAAAAATTAATACGTATTGTTTACAAGGATCTCTGGTAGCCATTTAAGTACCCAAATAATTTAATAGTAAAATCGCACGTGATTTCAAAAATTTAGCGTAGGTAATTTAGAGAATTTAATTTCAAATCTAAGGGTAATAGTGGAAAGAATATTTTTGCGTCGAGTGATGTCTTTACGATGAATGATCATGATAAATGACTCCAGCGATTTTCATTTAGCATCTCACCCATGGTCCCAAAATGGGCAATGTTGCTGCCAGTGTCGGGACATTGAGGCCGCCAAGCCTTCTTCTGGGCGCAGTAAAAGGTCCGGTAATGATTGATACATTTGTTCGCTCCGACTCTTATCTTCTCAATTTGAAAGAACAAGCAGCAAGAATGTGTGTGTGTTTTGAGGCTTGGTGCTGTTCTTGTCATTGTGTTTGGTGGATGGTGGTGGTGAAGGGAGTGGAAGGTTGCCTCTGGAAAGAACATGAGGTTGGTTGTGTTGCCAAACATGTTGTCATAGATGATACCTGATTCAGGTATCTTGGGAACACTGGTCAAGATAGAACTGGCTTGTGGCCAAGATGCTGTCGATCACGATCTTGGAAAGCTGCTTTGTCATGAGAATTGTAGAGCATATGATTGTTGGTCGCTCCATTGATTTACTGCAATTTTTAAATGAGAAACTGGGATAATTGACTAAAATGTGTATTTAGACTAATTTATAATGAAGGTGAATGTCTTGCATATTAGCTGAGAACATTTCATTGTAGACAGAAAATTTTATAGCTGTTGAAAGTTACGCTTCCAGTCTTCTTTTGAGTTAATAATAATAATAATAATAATAATAATAATAATAATAATAATAATAATAATAATAATAATAATGCTGATAATGATAAAAAAATAATAATATTAACAATAATTATACGTCAATTTTTTTTTCTTTTTAGCATGCCTAATTTTTTACACGAAAGGTCTATACAAAATTGATTTTTAAAAGGTAGCTTTTCACTGTTAACGCGTCGGAGAAGAAAAATGAACAGTATTAGAAAAAATTTTTTCTCCTAAATGTGGTCAAAATATTGACCAGCACGTAGGTCGCAAAAACTTCTTCCGGTGACGATTGGGGTGCGATAATCTCGAGGTGCGCATTGTTCTCACTAATAGTTGCTTAAAACACTGCCATTCTGTGGGCTTTTTGGAAGTCCTTAATAAATATTGATGGTCATATCCATGGCAACCCACAAGCCGCAGCTCAAGTGACTTCAAGAAGATTATCGCAGCGGGGCATTTAAAAATCGGAGGTAAAGTCACCAAATGATAATTATAAGAGCCGCCAAAATATTGAATTTAGGGATTTCACTTACTAAACTTCAATAAGATGGGACTGAGGTGAAAACACGATCATATGCTACCTCAAGTCAAAGTCAAGTCTCCAGAGGTCAAGAGCCCTGTAGCAAGCTATCGGACTTCAAAAGATTATTAAAATCAATATTCAATTCGAGCTCAAACATGCGTGAGATCAGGCCCTGAGATTAACTTCGTGACATATGTCTTAGGGATGTCGCAAGCTTCAAATAAGAACAGATTTTCTCGTGTGACCAGCCATGCACCTCAGCGTGGCCTGGGACTGCTACGAAACATATTATACTTGGGAAACTATAAGTCGGCGCTGCGTGACCTGGGACTGCTACGAAACATATTATACTTGGGATACTATAAGTCGGCGCTGCGTGGCCTGGGACTGCATGGAACGAAACACATACCAAGGATGCTAATATTAGGATACTAAGCCAAACACGCATGGCTGGTCAATTTGACTCGCGTGTCTCTAAATTATACACTAATTTTCATCATTAGATTCATTCATGTATAACTATTTGAGCCATAGTATTTTACTGATTAGAATGTCCAAGAATTCATTTAAAGTAAACATGAGTGGCCCATGACCACACATAATTTCTTGTTCAGTTACGGAATTTCTTGGAGGTGTAAAGAGATGTGCAGTGTTATATACGAAATGAATGCTGTGTAAAAAAAATAGTATGGTGAAGTACGAAATCCTGAGCAGTTTTAAATAGCTAAAATGTCGTAGTGTGAAATGCTACCCAGTGGAAAATGCGTAACATGCAATGGTAAAATATGCTAATATCGTGAAATTTAAATGTGGCTTTGAAATTATATCATCAGAATTAAGCTAGCGCACATCGGAATTAAACAAGCGCACAAAGATTCACTAGCCACATGATGTAGATGATCGAATGAACCCTAGAACGAATCTGACGATACGGTATTGAAGCCTGCCACTATATGGATACCACTTCTTAATAAATATGTTCAATACGCATATAACGCGTTATCCTTGCGGCGACAGGCTAGAAACTCTTTAAAATAAATGCAACGCCGTGCGACACTGTGGTTTTTGAACTCATTTATTTCTCAATAATATCGTAAAAAAATATTAGGCACATTGTTAAATTGTGGAGAATGGTTCTAAATTTTCCAGGTTTAAAAAAAACTAATAACCTAGCTGCTATGCAAGTCAGTGTATATTGTGTTCATGACAATTCTGCTCGAAACTTGCATGTACCTTAAATATTGATATATTTAGTTATTAATATTTAGCTTTACATTTATTAATATTTATCTTGCATATAAATATTTATTTATATGTATTAAATTTATTTAAAATATTTTAGTAATTAAATATTCACCTTAAGTTACTAAATATATATTTCTATAATGTAACTAAATTATCATATTTATTCATTTTATTTATATTTAGTTACTAAATATGATAAAAATGGAAAATAAAATTTATGACGGCAGTTCGATGTCGAACAATTAATGAGGGCGCAGCTTTAAATTTTGTTTATTTAAAATAATCTAAAAGATCTGGATCACTTTTAATTCTTAGGAATATCTGGCGACACTTCAATCGAAAAATTTTTGTTGAAGAAAATAAATAGACAAAATTTTTCTTAGGAAAATGAAGTGATTGTTGTAAGATGAAAGCAGGGATTCCATGTGAATGAACATACAAGATAACAAAAAATACGAACTAATTAAGTCCGAAAATACGTTGAGCGGTTATTCAAAATGAAAATATTTAGGAATTTTAGTTTAAAGGCCAATATTTGAAACTGGAAACTTATGGAGATTCGTGCGGAACAACGAAGAAAAATTTATCGTTCACATCTCAGCGGTGGCTAATTTGAACATTTAAAGAAAATATGCTTGATTTCGGTAACGTATTGGCAGCGTCAAAATATTTGCGTCCAAAATTATTTTCATCACAATAATTTGTTGACAATTTTTTCTCTTGAAATATCGGGAGCCGAGGAATAATTATATATACCAAAATGTAGTTAAAATATGCAGTTGAAAAATGGGGTTTTGCTTTAACTATCGCAAGAAATAAAAATCGTGTCAATTCATGAGTTCATGTCTGTGATGGACGATAATTTAAGAAGACAAACTCACAACAACTATTTTGTAATTCGCCGTCTCAAATTTGTTCTCTGTCGGCGAAATAGAAAATTCTGGTAAAAGACAACCTCTGCAAGCTACAAATAATTTTTCATACGTATAATTAATTGCATTAGGCATTCCGGCAGTTCTATACAAAACTAAACTTAAGCTTGCGGATCTTCGACCTTTTATTTATTTTGCAATAAATTGTATGCTTAGCTTAATTAATGTCGTATCAAAAATGGTACAAAGACTTATTCTTTACTGTTTTATTGCTTAAAATCGTATTAAATGGAGATAAATGTTTTAAAAACTAAGACGTGCATTAATTTCTGTGTTGGATAGCGCATAAATAAGTTTTTTCTCTCGCATCCATGTTGAATTTTCCGGTGTGAGGTCCTCGTGACAACTTCATCCGCCGTAACTTGCTTGCAACGAGCCAAGTTCGGCCTGAGCACCGCATGCTGCACGGAGGGACGCTCTAACTCATGCAAGTGCGCCTCATGGGGGCTGATATCTCGGTGTCATATGAGTGCTGTCACCTGCTGACGCGTTAGCCAACTCACCACGGGAGTAATGCACGACCACAGGTTGAGGGCACCAGCCCCCCGGTCTGGCATACCTTGTCCCCCGTTGTCAACACGCCCTCAGTTGTCTCGGCGAACAAGATTGCGGCGCGGGAAGCCGTTCTAGGGGTCATCTCCTAAGCCCTGGGTCTCACGCGACAAGTCTTTCGCTTGAACCGCAATAACATCCACTCTATGGAGTGATACAAAGTGTCCCTGCGGTTGCACCCCGGGCAACTGCATGTTTATCGCCTCATGAGGCTGCGTGACACTGCTTCTTCTTGCCTCTCTCGTGCCGAAGATCCTGCCGCTCGACGTACGTTCCAGTGGCTGGTACACGCTGCTAATCCCTCTGTGCTGCACACCGGGGGCGTCTGTTTAGCTCCTCCTTTGTGAAGGACAAACAACTTATCAGGTCCGCTCCCTGCCGCTGCAGACTGGTCGGAGGGCAGATTCTGGGCGGATCTGCGCTTACGAGGACACTGCTGTGGCGACCACTGCGAACTCAGCGGGTCTTGAGCACGACCCAATAGGTTGTCAGACAGACCCAATGATAGAATGAAGGGCGGGTATGCCACGAGACCCCTTACTGTGCCAGATCTGTGGGCGGTACCCATCCGCTGTGATCAGGCCGATGTGTTCGCTGCATGAACGCCGCGCGCCGACATCACGTCGCCAGTCTCTCACGCAACTTCGTGGCGCAAGCAACCGTTTTGGTTTCAAATTCACTGGTGGTCTTGAGTGACTATTTATGTGGTGTCTTTCATGTGACAGTGAGGACAGCAGCTTCCCGAAAAATGTTGAGCCCATTTGTAGACTCAAGCCACGTAGGTTCATTAATGGGTCATAAAATAGGTCCTTCAGCCCATCACATGGGCGCTGAAAGCTTAGGCCACGCTCAGGCAAACCAGTACAACAACGGCTATGGAATGACACACCCGTCCATGCATCCAAGCTCCATGGCGTACTCTAGAGATATATTTTTTAGGCGTGATCATATGGCCCCGCTAGGTAGTTTAGGAGGCCATGATTTCAACCAACAACATCATCACCACACGGCAATGTTTGGAGCGACGTTAGCACCCGACACGCCAAGCGTCATGTTCCCAGGACTCCATGAACATCACCAACACAACATGAACAGACTGGCGGGTATGGACTGGCCCCACCAGCACCAGCAGTTCCATCATGGTGTAAATCCTATGAACATGGGCCCCATGGGAGCAACACATTCACCCGGTGCCTTTTTCCGATACATGAGACAGCCAATAAAGCAGGAGTTGTCCTGTATGTGGCTAGATCAAGACCAACCTTCACCAAAGAAGCCTTGCAATAAAACTTTTGGAAGCATGCACGAAATTGTGACACATATAACAGTTGAACATGTTGGTGGGCCTGAGTGTTCTTCTCATGCGTGTTTCTGGCAAAATTGTCCTCGGAACGGCAGATCTTTCAAAGCAAAGTACAAACTTGTGAACCATATCAGAGTGCATACTGGAGAAAAACCCTTTCCGTGCCCTTTTCCAGGATGTGGAAAAGTTTTTGCACGATCGGAGAACTTGAAAATACACAAGAGAACACACACAGGTATGTAATTTCAAAAATTTAAGCATGATGTCATTTCATTTAACTGATATTAATACTTCTCTATGCCCAATACAGGATGTCGATAGGAATTATCATAGCAATTATGAAAATTAAAATTACAGACCATTAAGGATAATTTTCCATAAATGCATGATTATTGTGTCCATGTGATTAATATGTAGTGTTTAAGTACAAAGTTCAAAGGCACATTTAAACTTTATATTCTCCAATTTTATCATTAGGTTTACATTCATGATTTGCAATGTTTCGTAGCACTTTATGAGAAATTTTCATAATATAACATTGCTATATGTATTTTTGAATATTTTATTAAACCAACAATTTCAACAAATTAGCAAATATTAGCTTTACCATGGTGTACACGATTTCAAATGATGAAAAAATATATAATTTTAAATGGGTTTTAGTAGTGTAAATATTTAGCAATTTAACTGCAAGGATCAATTCCATCCGAACTTTCTGTACTTTACATGAAGACTCAAACTGTTAATAATTACCTAATATAGCTCTCGGTTATTATTAAATTTTTATATGCATGTTTGATTAGCTATATTATAAGATCCCTTTCCACAAAATTATAACAATATAATTAATTTTGTCACATATTTCTATCAATTAATAAGTTGGGAATTTGCCTAATAAATGTGATTGCTTCATGCTATAAATGACTGGAAATCATTGATATCTCTTATTTATTCATATTATTTCATATTATCATTCATTAACTCATTTATATTCATGAGTTAGCTTAATTGTGATATTTTCATAATTTAGATGTCCGAGCTGCAGATGGCTTAGCGCCAGCTGTTAGATAATACTCGTTCATTGGTTATCATAATCTGGATCAATCACATCAAATATCATATCAATTTATTAATTGCCAACGAAAAGTTGACAATAATCAAACAATAATTTCAAATTGACTGGCGGCAATTTCAGTATTTTAGTAATTACAGTCGCAAATTAAAAGATAAAGTTCACAACATAATAGTATATTAATCTCACGTTAATCAAATGATACTCTGACATTATTGCTCGTCCATATAAAAATGTATATAAGGTAAAATCAAACACTTGCTCATGCCTATAAGGCATAGAAGAAATAATTATGTAAACGAAATACAAATAATTGACATCACAAGCCTAGCTCCGACTAAAGCTCTGGGATATATTTAGCTCACATTTATGATTCATTGGCGGGAGTAGGAAGTGCATGTATATATAAATTTTAGACACAAAAATTTTCTACATAGACCAACCAAGTGTAACAACGCTATGGCTTTTGACTCACGAAGCTATACGTTAAATTTTGTTGATAGAAATTTTAGAATGATTCTAATTTTCGTACAGAAAATTATTTAAGCGAATAAAACTAATTTTGAATTTTTCAATGGGTTTAATTTATTGAAGAAAAGAGCGGTTGTTTGTATAGAATCAGTCGATGAATTGCTAACATTTTCAATATTTGATACTCACCTGAATTAAATAAACGATGTGACTTCCTTCGAAGTATTTAAACCATTTGTCTGTATATAATATATATCGCGTAGTTTTTATCACTTATTAGCATTTCAACGCCTGACAAACAAACGGTTTTCCATTTTTACAACGGCTTGTCATTATTTAACATATGGAATAAACAGAAGTTGCAGCAACACTCGCTACTTATTTGTGTACCATGGCAGTCTGACAAAAGAATTACTCGCTTTAAACTTCACTGTAAAGGAAGTAAAAATTGTTATGTCTAGTTTTCTCTGCGTACATTTAAAAGTAAGTTTAGTTAAGGAAAAATCGGTCGCTGTGGCCACTTGGGAGCAGCTCAGGTAGAGGCTCGTGGTGGCACGGCGCAGCTTGCGGTCTGTTCTAGACGCTGGAACTTCATCAGAGAAGACGATGTGAATGAAGGCCATGTTAATTTCAACAGTCCATAAAACCATCGCTAAAGACTACACCGTTTTGGTCTGTTCAGGCAGATACAGAAAAAAAGAAGCCTAGCCTACGTACTTACGATGGAGCAATATCCTTCCGGTTTTTTGAGTTTTTTTTTTTTGTTTTCCAAAAATTTCGCAGATTTAATTATATTGTGAAGTGTGTGAAGTGAAACTCTAAAGTAATATTTTTCCAGGTTCGCAACGATCTAATATAATTTAATTTTTCTTATGTATTCCTCTTAACATTAAAATTTTATTTGACCAGATTTAATTATGCCGTAGTTGTTCCCGCATTTACTAAATATTCGAAAAAAAACACGCCACCGGGCTGACAGTAACCGTCCGTATCTCTGCCGTTTCATCATCTGCAATGGAAATAGATTTCCGGAGATTCATTTACTAAAAACTCAATCAAAAATCGCAACAAAACTATACAGCACGTATTCATTAGAATATTCAATAAGACTTTTGTCTAGTGAACATCAATTTAATTCACATAAAAAGGTTCAGTTACGCCACAAATTCACCAAATGAATCTCGACTATTATTGATGTCATTCGTGCACGAATAATAAGCAACTTAAAGCAACTTAAAATATTTTATTAACACCAAACTTATTTAAAATTAGCTTTCCATTTAGAAAAACAATTCCATTTTCAAGAATTACCATTAAACGTTTTGCTCTTTCCAACCTTTTCGACAGTTACGTTAATTACATCTTTTCAAAATTCCGTTATAGAGAGATTTTATTGAATTTAAAACGCAGCCTTCAACTTGTTCGGCCGCTTCTTGAAGAGAGCGCCGGCGACGAAGCTCATTTTGCGTGTAGCGGCGCGGATTCTCGTGTGTTTGGTAATCTGGGGTCTAAGTTAGTGAGGGGAGTCTACAATCGATGTGAGGGAGAGACCCTTGCACACAGACACTCCCTCGCTGGTTGTGATCCCTCACGCTCGAAGCTGCGATATTGCAAGTGCCGCTTGCTCTCTCTCCTCCCGCCCTCACGTCACGCCGCCATGCTGCTGTGTCACCTACTCTCTGTCCCCTCTTTTTACCTCGTATTTACCCCTCTCCTCCCCTCACAATATTTGCCCCCTCTCCTTCCCTCACAATATATGTCCCTCTTCTACCCTCACAATATTTGCCCCCTCTCCTTCCCTCACAATATTTGCCCCTCTCCTTCCCTCACAATATTTGCCCCTCTCCTTCCCTCACAATATTTGCCCCTCTCCTTCCCTCACAATATTTGCCCCTCTCCTTCCCTCACATATGCCCCTCCTTTTCTATCATTATATTTTACTTCAAATAGAGGAGTGTTAATTATTGACAAAAATTAGCACTCCTTGGGGCCAATGATTAACATTATATGGGCTAATGATTTGGGGCCAATAATAAAGACTCGAGGAGTATTAATTATTGGCCCCAAAATTTTAATTATTGGCCCCTCATAGGTACGATTAGGATAAATTAAATCGAGAACGATGCAAAGATAATTTCTACACATGAAGTTTTTTTATTTGGAATAAAGATAATCAACAACGTCTTCAAGGATACGTCGATGATAATAAATAATGTCGCGCTATTTTTAAAAATTGTTTTCTTAGTTTAAATCTAATAAATTTTTGAACATAGTTAACATACTAAAATTTTATGTATACATCAAACTTAATAAAAGCCTTCACAAATCAGCAAGCTAATAATTATATTTGTTGCTCCAGAGCTTTCTTACTTTGTAAACATTCCACAATCTATTCATGGTCTAAATATTAATTCTTTTAATTTCCTGTGAAAAACCAACATCGAGTTAGCTATCTTTTTCGAAAAAGGGTAGAAACGGGCAGCAAATAATTTTCTGATATCAGTGATAGGTAGTTTTACCAATATGGGATATATACTCGTATGTCCGCAGTAAGTGATACTGTCGCCTGCTGAAAACTTCAGAGGGAGGTTGTTCACTAGCTTAATTACTCGGCATGCCTGCGATTATCTTTTTATTTTTGACAGTAACGGATTCTCGATGATCCAACATGTGGGATGATCCAACATGTGTCCGCCGTACGTACAAGACGGGTTACCGTCTTACGTTCAAGACGGGCTAACCGTCATACCTGCATGTACGTTCAAGACGGGCTTCCGTCGCACGTACATACATGGCGGGCTCCCATCGCACGTACATGACGGGCTCCCGTCGCACGTACATGACTGGATACCGTAATACGTTCAATAGTCATTATGTCGTCATTCGTCCAGGTTGCCTCCATCAGGCCCTATAATCGCTGTGTAATTGCTAGACTCAGATGTGACAAGCGTCCACTGGCACATTGTTTACCACAAACCACCCCGCACCACAACACAAATTAGTCCCATCAGATCTCATCAAAAAATCTGTTGATGTTGATGCTCTTCGATTAAGAATCACGGCACGTGTCGCGGCCTTATTGTTCTTCATCAAGACCTGGACACAAACTCATGCAACGCTTCAGATTAGAAGCGTTTGTTAGCATTCATGTCCAGAAAATAGAAACTCTTAATATATCAGTCTCGTTCTCTCTGTCTATACCAGTCTTTGATCCGGGTTATGTTGAAGGATCAATGATAAGCATTTATCTGGAATGCGAGAAATTGTTGGGAGATGTAACCGCTCGTAACTACGCAGCCATCCGCTTTGATGTGTCCACCCATGATCCAGGTTAGCGAGAGAACTATTAATAAGGAACATTATTGCTCGGCTCTACAGACAAGGAATATAAAGTTCTGAGATGGAGGGCGAGATAGTGGCCTTTAGATTCGGCCGCCGCTCGCGCTGCTGCCCAGGTTAATAAAGATCATAACGTCGTCTGTTCGCAGGTAACCGCGACGAACTGATGAACATGGTTTTATTTTTTGTGTATGTTTTGAAAAGTTTTTAGAGTTGAAGGGATTTATCTATTTATAAACTTATTATATATCTATTGGCCTTTAAATTGTATTTTATGAAAGTATTTGCAAAACCTTGAAATAACCTACCCTAGAGGCAACCAAAATTAATTATTTTTATCGTATGCTAATAGA